TTGCCCAATGTCACAAAGCTGGGATAAGGGCCGGCCCCGTGGCTTAGCGGTTAAGTGCGTGCGCTCCGCTGCCGGCGGCCCGGGTTCAGATCCCGGGTGCGCACCGAGGCACCACTCCTCCAGCCATGCTGAGGCCGCGTCCCACATACAGCAACTAGAAGGATGTGCAGCTATGACAGACAACTATGTACTGGGGCTTTGGGGGAAAAATAAATAAATAAAAACAATCTTTAAAAAAAAAACAAAAAGCTGAGATAAGCCAAGTCCTTAGGTTCCTTGAGAGGTCTCCAGTTCCCACTCCTATTGGAATGCTTACTTCTGCATTGCATGGGGCTGTGGAAGGGTTGGCTTAGCACAATTGTACCCTGCTGCTCCCATGGAGCTAGCTCTGGCAGGTGTGACCAAACTCTACTCCAAAACAAGAGTCCTCCACTGGGCTATGTACCTGGGATCTCTGAGTAATTTCTGCTACCATTAGCCAAGGAGCGGGGGATTTCCCCCTCAAACCTCACATTCCTGCTTTCATATCTCCCATATCCCCAAATAATCATTACAACACACCTCATAGGCAGCTGTTTATTAAAAGTGCCATAAAAAAGGGGAATCTTGGCCCTCCAACCAGCCCACAGTCAGAAAAGGTATAGCTTCATGGTTTCCTGTTACTCAGTTGGCTTGGCTTGCCTCACGCATGACTCAGGCTTCTGGGGACCTCCCTCCTGGATCCCTGTGTAAGCTGACTACTCTTGTAGCCCAGCCTTGGAGTCCTGGCTCCTCCTCTCCAATTGTCCCTCACTTCTCTCTCCAGGCCAAGGCACAAACTATTTCTCTCTCTTGGCCTCATTAACTTTTTAGGAAAGGGGTCTTTTTCCAGACGTCCTGGATCTTCACCTGTTACAGGTCACAACTGCTCCTATCAAAGTCCCCAAAGCTCCCAGGAATGCCCTTAACTGGCCTCTCCTTTGTCCAATCTCCTTTTAGACTTGACAAGCTCTGATTTCCCCCTGATTTCTTGTGGGTGACTAACCAAGCCCTCCTGGCCTCGGGTGTGTCAATCCAAGGTCAACACAGGTCCCCCCCTCCTCGTATCCCCTAGGACTGTCTTCCCAAAGCCTCTCTGGCTGCTTGCTCCTCCTACAGCACAAAGCGATGGGGCTAAAGGCAGATGGAGGGGGTCAAGTGTCCCACTGGAGGGTTTCTGCTGCAGTCAACAGGCTGAGAGAAACGTCAGCTCTGAAGAGCCTGTGACCCTGTGGTGTTCTCTTTGGGCCAGCACATTTGAGAACTGAGACTCCAGTTAGGAACTTCTAGGCTGACAGACAGGCTTGAACTGACTTTGTATTTAACGCAAAGGGAAATTTAGAAATATAAGTTTGATATAGTTTAAACTATTTTTCAGTTTTTGGAAAGTACCAAGATTTGCATTTTCTTGCATGCTGTGTTTTCCTTCAACTCTTTCTTTCAAGTGTGTATTGCAGTAGTGTTTTAAAACCATTTTAAATTTTAGAATGGAAATCATCATGCCTATTTTTCTTCTAAATGAGCAGTTTTTAAACTTTGTAAGTCAGCAGAATCTTGTTCTCAAACACAATCTTAGCAGATTCCCCTTATATAAAATAAATAAATGTCAAGTTGCTGAGAAGGTGGGGGAAGGCAGCCCCTGAGGCATTTCTGCAGCACATAAGGGTTGTAGTGAACACATTTTCAAAAACCACTACTTTAGAATGTAACCATACTTTACTGAATCTAACACACCAACTATCGTAAGATGTACCATGAAGCACAAAGAAAGAAAAAACACTGCCATTTAAACCATGGCAAGCCACTGATTGATTATAACACTAAAGCCAACTTCAGAGATGTTAAATGTGGTCAATGTTTAGCCAGGTGATTTACAGAATATAAATAAATTTACAGAGTGTAAATAAATATGCATATAAATCATGTTCATTTATCCACACAGTCAATCTGAACATTAAATTTAAGTGAAGCAGCAGCAACAGCATCACATAAATGGTAGCTTCCATTTACTGGGCATGACTAAGTGCTATGTACCAGACAGATGCCAATAGGAGGGTTCCTTGGCACTCCTGACCTTCCTACCATTTCTTTCTTTTTTTTTTTTTTTTTTGGTGAGGAAGAGTGGCCCTTAGCTAACATCCATGCCAATCTTCCTCTACGTTTGGCATATGGGATGCCACCACAGCATGGCCTGACGAACGGTGCATAGGTCTGTGCCCAGGATCCAAACCCACGAACTCCAGGCCATCGAAGCAGAGCACGCGAACTTAACCACTACACTACTGGGCACTCCCCTTCCCACCATTTCTCAACGTTCCCATTTATTGAGCACTAGCCAAGCACCGTGCCAAGTGCTATACATCCATTATCTCGTTTAATACTGGCAAGAACCCTCCAAAGCAGGTATTATTATCCTTTTTTATAGAGGTAAAAATTGAAGCTCAGGGAAGTTCAGTGACTTGCCCGAAGTCAAACAACTAATAAATGTGGCAGTTCAGATATGCTGACTTCAAAGCCCATGCTCATTCTACTATAGAATTTTCTAGAATTAGAGCATTCTCAGAGTTAGGAGAGACCTAGAGGTCGCTGCTTCCCCATTCAAGAATCCCCCTTCTCAGTATCCCTAACCGATGGTGATGTTTTCAATAAATCTGACCAGATAGATAAGAGTCTACCCAAACCAGTGATTATCAAACCTGCCTGATCATCAAAAGCATTTGGGAAGCTTTTTTAAAAATTGCAGACTCCTGGGACACTCTTCTAAGGTTTTTTCATTTAGTAGGTCTGGAGTGAGGCCTAGGAATTTGTATTTTCAGAAAGTACACCCAGTGATTCTGACACATGGGCAGGTTTAGAAATCATTAATGTAATCTCATGAAGCCTTAGATGGAAACTATCGGAGGAAGAAAAGTTGAGTTTCAGCCTCATAAGGAAGCAGTGACCTGCACAAAAGAACGATGCCATGTTTCTCTGTTGGTTAGAATAATCCAACACTGAGACATGAGTAAGAAAAAGAGTACTCACAGGAAACCCCACACGAACCATTGAATCCTACCTGCTTTGGGTGGGGCTAATTCCTCTCAACAACCAACTCTCAGCCCAGACTCAGACCTGGGTGCCATCAGGAAGAAAGATATTATCGCTGGTTAAGACGTGATGTGCTCCCAGGCCTAGCCCAAAATGCATATCTCCTAAAGGTGGTTCTGCCCCATGCCTCGCCCTCTTGTTGGTTTCTCCACAACCTAGAGATTGGAAGCTGAGATCTTACCCCCCAATAAATCAGCCCTAGAAATTTTACATGAAGGGATATGAGTTTCTCATCATAGCAGTGGGGGCAGGGAGGGAGACTACGGGGCTGGATGCAACCTGAGGCTGGATGAGCACTTGGCAGGTTTACCGTAGGGGACACTGAAGCATTAGATGGGGTGGAGAGTGCACTGTCTTCAAAATAATTAAAGTAAACTTCAAGGTCCTATTCAGTTCTTCAATTTAGCAAATCTCAAATCCACTGGATTTCATGTCAGACTTGGCTCTGAAATCTGTACAGCAGCACTGCCCAATAGAACTTTCTACAATGATGGAAATGTTCTGGACTTGCACTGTTCAATATGGTAGCCACTATCCACATGTAGCTATTAAGCACTTGAAATATGGCTAGTGTGACTAAGGAAAGAAATTTTTAATTTTATCTAATTTTAATTTCAATGTAAATAGCCAATGTGATTAGTGGCTACCATATTGGACAGTACAGTTTTAGAGGGACCACCCCAGACTTGTCTTGAACTTTGTGATCAGAGCTGCCTATTTGACACTAGCTTAAAAGCACCAAAATCCAAAGCATGAGAAGAGAAAATGTGTCAGGAGAGATCACCATGAGGGATCCACTACAGAAACCAGCATCTGCCCAGTATTCTTGGCCACCTTAAGGATAAAGCAGAAATGACTTCAGGGATAACCCAAGCAACTGTGAAGATGCCAGTTCTTAAAATCCATCCCAAAATAGCTGATCTAAGGCCAACTGCGTGATTTCCTCGTAACTTCTCCCTCTGCTATGTATATGACAGGGACAGTCTTTACTTTCTTGCTTCCTCCAGTCAACCCATAGCTGTCAATCTCATTGTAATGTACGCTTCATTATCACCCTCTTTCACCAGCCAGTGTTGCTTGTATCTTAAGCCCAAGGGCTCGCATAATTTGGCCAGTTTGGTCAACCAGTCGTTTTGGTGAGAACTCTGAATCGAAATGGTCATTGAACCGAACTGATAAACTAGCCAGAGCCTTCTGCTGTTAGGATGGAAGAGACCTCCCAGGTTCTCGTCCACCCATGCACATGTCCTTTGATTGGAATAGTGCTGCCCATGTACAAGGGTCAGGGAAACACCTCTCAAATATACAAAATACAAAATCCACCAAGAGATGAGGAAAACTGTAATAGGAAATAGTGGGGGCCTTCTCCTCCATCCATTCTACAGGTATTTATTGAGGGCCTCCTGTGTGTCAGGCACTGCATTAGGTTCCTGAGGTAGGACAGATAAAGTCTCTCTTCCATGGGGCTCAAAGTAGCAAAAAGATAGCAAAAGAGCTACTACTTATTGAGTTTCCACCCATAAGAAGTCTCTACTTCTCATAACACTCCTGCAAAGTAAATATTGCCATCCTCATTTTATAGATACTGAAGTAGAAGCTCAAGTTTGCCCAGATCACCTCCGTCTGTGTGGCTTTTTTTGCTTCTCCACACTGCCCGCCTTGTGTAGTCTTTCCCCCTATTTATCCCTTGAAGGATTCCAAGCATTATTTATTTAAAGGCTATTCCCTTACCACAAGAGATTAAGGGTGCCCAGGAGACCTGGTGAGCAGGAGACCCACCACGAGGGATCTAAGGCAGGAAGGAAGAATCACCACCACCCAAAGCCAGGAAGAAAATGGCCTCCTCCTACAGTGAATATCGTAGTTAAGCAAATAGTATTTTAGAGAAAACTTACCGGCCACCACACCATATTTCGTCCTGCCAGGAAGAAGCCTCCAACGGTCCCACGATTAGTGGAAAACATCGCCTGAGGAGGAAGGGTCAAAAATTCAATAGAAAACAAGAACAGAGTGACCATGTCAGCCAACAGGATATACCCTCCCACCTCCCTATACTCACACTTTCTTCTACCCACTTCACTTTCTAAAACACTTCCACATTCCTTACTCCCCCAGAACTCCAGTACACTCAGATGAAGTGGGCAGGGACCTACATTCACAGACAGGAGACTGAGGCTCAGACGGTTTAAACAGCTTGCCCTAGTGTTAGCTCTGCAAGGATCTTAAGGTGTGGCTTTGAATAAGTCACTTGGCCTGGATCTGTTTGTCTGGTAAATAAGGGGAAGTGGAAATTTTTATGCCTTTTTACAAGCATACCGAAGGTGTCTAGTGAAATATCATACTTTTTAAAAGCATCATATGGTATGTGAATTATATCTCAATAATGCTGTTACTAAAACAAAAAGAAAGAAAAATGCTATAGTGCACTGTATTGGTACCAAATATTACCTAAAAGACTGAACATTGAAACTCAATTCAAAACTTTCCTCTCTGGGGATGTAGGTAGGAGCTTAATGGAAACATTACTTTTCAATATATTATGAATACTGAGGTATTATTATTATTATTATTATTATTATGAAAACAGAGGAAGGAAAGGATTCTTTCTGACTGGGGTGTCAGGAAAGGCTTCACGGAGTGGGGAGCATTTCAGCAAGTCTTGAAGAAAGCGTGATATTTATTATCGGAGAAAAGAAGGAAAGGACATTTCAGACTGTGTGAACAGCACGAGTGATGTCCCAGAGGTGGCACTGCACCTGCGTCGGGAGGGAGGGAATGGTGAGCGGTATTATCTGGCCACCTGGCTGAGGTGTATAAATGGGGAGAGTGGTGAGAAGTGGGGGCTGACTGCAGACCCTCAAGTGCCAGGCTAAAAAGTGGAGGCTTTATTCCATAGGCAGTAGGGAGCCACTGAAGGTTTATGAGAAGAAGGACATACAAATAAATGACAACCAGCCCCTTTCACAGCTCCCTTGGAACGCTGCCTCTGAACCTTCGGCTTATTTCTGGTCCAGCTCAGGCCCAGGCCCAGGCCCAGTCCTCCACCACAAAACAGGGACAGTGTCTCTGTCCCTGGCCTCCTTCCCTCTTCCTCTTTCTCTGTGTCGACAGCCTTCCCTTAGCTGAGGCTTGCTAATCTCCCTGAAAATGCTAATGGCTGATAATGACTTAGTCCTGTCAGAGTTGTTTGCATTTTCATAGGTGACCCCTGAGGCTGAAGAGCATCACTAGTCCAAAGGAATTAACCTCCGATGGTGACATTTCAGGCATTTAGAAACTGGCCATTCATTCAGCAAACATGTGTGCTACAGAGAGCACATTGCTGGGTGCTCAGACTGCAAAGAGGTACTGAGCTTAGTCCTTTAGGAAGCAGGGTCATTCATGCGTCCAAACAATCACAGATTGTTGAGCACCCCTGTGTGCTAGGCAGTGCCGGGGAGAGTGTGGCTAGGATCCTTCTGGACTCCTGGCAGGGTCCTCCCTCCCATAGAACATATTCTTGGAGCCTCTGTAGTGATTTTTCAGGGAATAACAAGAGGACCAACAGACTCAAGGAGCAGGGAAGGTAGCTGGGGCTGAAACAGAAATAAGTCCCAAGGACTAAAGCTCCAGCAGTTGGCCAGGGAAAGGCCGTTCTGAAGGTCATTCTGAAGTGAGAGCAGGATGATGCCCCCAGGCAGGGTTGGAGGGACTGGAAAAGCGGGTTTGGGGCCCAGACACAACATTTCCAAGTTGGTCTCAGAAACAAGGAGCTTAGAGGAAGAATGTGAGGACAGAGACTAGAGCGAAAAGCTGGATAATTCAGGGATGATTTGGGGGGTGGATAAAAAGTGAGGAGAGATGTGTTTACATCAGGCCTCTTCCTCTTCAGAATGTTCATCCCCTCATCTCTGCAAGCCCAGACCCTGCGTACCCATCCTTCAAGGCCCCTCAAATGCCACCTTCCCCACGAAACCTCACCTAACACTCTCCCTCGGAAACCTCCTCCTCCTGGATGGCCTCCTTCCCTCCCCAAACAAAATTATCCCTCTCTCCTTTGAACATCGAGAGAACTCGGTCCATACCCCCTTCACAGCCCTTACAATTTTTTTACTTTGCATTACTATATTACAAATTTTTTCCAGCTTTATTGAGGTTTATTTGACAAATAAGAATTTTATATATTTAAGTATACAGTGTGACATTTTGAAATACATATTCATTTTTTAATTTTTTTTATTGAGGTCACATTGGTTTATAACATTGTGTAAATTTCAGGTGTACATCATTATATTTCAGCTTCTATATAGACTGCATCACGTTCATTGCCAGAGGCTGGGGGTGAGGGAAATAGATGTTGGTCAAAAGGTACAAAGTTTCAGTTATAACATGAATAAGATCTGGAGATCTAACTTACAGCATGGTGACTAGTTCATAATACCGTATTGTATAGTTAAATTTGCTAAGAGAGTAGATCTTAAGTGTTCTCATCATAAAAATAAAAAATTGTAACCATGTGAGGTGATAGATATGTTAATTAGCTTGATTATGGTAAAATTTTACAAATTTTTAATCCTCCCTAATAATGCTTAGCGTAATGCCTTATGCATGGCACACATTTAGTAAAAAGGATAAATGCGTTTCTCAGTGCCCTCTGCCTCTACTCCTCCCCCATATCCCACCCTGAACACTCCTTCTGGAAATGAGCAACACCCCTCCAGACAGACATTCTGCAGTCTGTCAGTAACATTCATTAGGTGCTTCCTGGGGCATGCATTCCAGCTCATATACCCTGCCTCCTTCCTCCCCGCTGTTCACATCGTACAAATGGAAAGACATTGTCTCTGCAAGCAAGGGATGCTCGAAAAAAGAAAAGTTCCAGACCCCACTTTGTAAACCATAGCATTAAATTTGCCTGTCCACTCTGCAACTAGAAAAGAATGATTTCACAATTGCAAGGCACAGGGGCAAAAGAAGCACAATTACTGACCCACATTTTTTTCCTCAATGGAATAAAAATATTGAGCAAAAGGAAGGCACTTCAGACCTTTGTTTGAAGCCTAAGAAACTGGGGATGTTGGGCCTTGAGAAGAGAAGACTCAGGTGTGGCCTATCATCTTCTGATACGTAAAGGGGGACAGACTCGCTCTGCGTGGTCTGCATAAGGCACCACCATACACAATGGGAGAGGCTCCACGACATCAGATCTGAGCTCAGTACCAGGAAGAGTTTCCTCACTGCCAGAGCTGTCCAGAGATGGAAATGCGCCGGGGAGAGTTTCTGTTGGAAGTATTCAAATGAAGATTGTTGACAACTTGTCAAGTGGTGTAAAGAAAAGACTCAAGTATAGGATGAAGAGGGTTGAACTTGATAAACTTTAGGCCCTCACTTTATGAAAATATGTGAGGAAAGAAGGAATTGAGCACCACCAGGACCCTGTCACAGCAATGCAGGGGGTGGGAAAGACCATGGAGAGGGTATTTCCAGAAAGGATAATGTCTTAGGGAGGAGGAAAGGTAAGATAGTGGAAAGAGTATTGCCTTTGGCATCATGAGACCTGGGTTCTAGTCCCAGCTCTGCTGCTGATGCATCTGAGTGACTTCTGGTCACCCTCTCTGATCCTCATCTATAAAATGGGGATGTTGGGCTATCACAGGGGCCATTGCTACTCAGGTATCCAATGATGCTATTAGTGCAAATGATTACAGAAGGCAGGGGTGAGTAAATTTTTTCTGTAAAGAAAAAGGGCCAGATAGTAAATAATTTTAGGTTTCGTGAGATATATACAATCTCTGTCGCATACTCTTCTTACTTTGTTTTGGGTTTTACTACCCGTTAAAAGAATAAAACCATTCTTAACTTGTGGGCCATACAAAAATAGGCTGTGGGCCAGATTTGGCCCATGGCCAGAGTTTAACAACCCCTTACATATGGGGTTTCAGATTAGCTCAATGAAATCTTCCAGAAAGAATAAAGTCAGAGATTCAGCCTAAAAGGATATAAAATCCCCCAAAAAACAAACCAAGAGGTGGTGAAAGAAACATGGAAATAGACACAGAAGAAGTTATAAGCTCAAGCCCAAATATAATTGGATGAGGCAGCATTGGAAGAGGATAAAATAGACAAAGTAATGTTAGAAGACATGAGGATGTGACAGAGGGACATTGGCTGTGGATGCCTTTTCTAAGCTGAGGAAGCACAATGAGCCTGGAGTGCTCTGTCCGTGCAGCCCAGAAATCATGCAGAAGTCAGGATGCCTGTCCCTGAACCAAGACACTCTTGATGCTCCAATAGAAAAAAGAGGAATGTAAACTGGAAGAAATCCAGCACGTTCAATGACCAGGCTCCAGAGGCACTGACTAATGGGGGAAGATTAAATCTAGACAAATACTAGCAGGCTCATTAAGTAGCATTTAACAGGACAAGTGATACTGATTCACAGATATTTGAAAAGTGTAAACACCATAACCAGCAGGGCTAAAATGAGATCAGTTAAGGGAACGGAGATTATCAGTGATTGTCTGGGAAACAGGCAGTACAGCACAGCTTGCAAATGATGGATTCACATCTTGGCTCCAGAACTTATATGCAGGAGTGAGGTCGGGGGAGGAAGGCAGGCAAGGTGAGAAATGCCCGGTACTGTGGAATAGTCCAGAGACCTGAGTTCCAGGAACCATCCATGTGTTGCAACCTTAGGCAAATCACAACCACATGAGGCTTCAATTTCCTCTTCTGTAAAATGGGCACTAGCATTCCTGCCTTCTCTGTCTCGTAGCTTTTTGTGAAGATGTCCTACCCAGCTGACCACCTTTGCCCATTTTACTTAAAAGGACAAAAATAATTCAGGGCCTGGCTCATAGCCTGCAGGGCAAATGATAACGGTATAGAAAAAGATTCCTAGAGTCCATAAAGATTCATCTCTGCACATGCTCACAACAACCTTGGGGAGTCATAAATATAGGCAAGATTGTACCTATTTCACACTTCAGTAAATTGAGGCTGAGGGGGGTCCCCCAAGGTCACATGGCTGGAACCATGTCAAAGCTGGTACTCAACTTGAGAATCCTGGCTCCTAGTTAGACACTCCCCACTATATGTGGGAAGCTGAGTATTGCGAAAGAATCAGCGACACCAATCTCTTGTGACACTTGAGGAAACTTTCAATCACATCTGGTTTCTACAATTCCTTAAAAAAAAAATGAACACTTCCTTTTATCCTTGAAAAAACTCTGTGGCCATGGAAGGGTTAACGTCCACTCTCCTCTCCTCTAAGTCAAAAGAGTTCAATATAACCACCTGCTGGCACTGCAGCCTCCTGGCCTATCACCGCCACCACCACCCCATGACAGCCTTTGAGAGGGGCTGGAATATCTGCTCATTTAAAACATCTCTTCTAGTTGCTGGGTGTGCCCGAGTCTGTCATAAGTGAAATTTCCAAGTTCCAGGCTGCCAAGAACAAGTTTCTCTGGTTTGGTGTGTCCCCAGAGCGCCAAAGGGGAGCCATAGGCATTTCCCTCTTCCCAGCACCTGGCCACGCTCTGGTCTTCCTCCTCCTCCTCTGTGACCTAGCTTTCCCAACTCTAACTCACTCCAGCCCCTGTGATCCCAGGACACAAGGCTTCAGGTCAGCATTCCCAGGAGGGGGACACCCAGCAGGGCCCTCACCTTGGGCTGCCCCACAGCACCTGCAGCTGGCAGGGGCTCGTGTCTCTCTCATTCTACACTGTTTCTTTTCCATCCAACACTGAATGACAAAGAGGCAGGACAGTAGTCACCTCTTCAGGGCTCATCTCCCGAGCCGGGGGACCCTCCCTGCAGCTCCAAGCTGGTCCTCTCCTGCCCCTCACACCCTCTCCCAGCCTCTCCAGTCTCCCACCTTCCTTCTCTGCCCCTGGGTCCGAGATATCCTCCTTGGGCCTTCCTGGGCGGCTCCCTTCGGCACCCCTCTCACTTCTGCTCATCCGTGCTTGCCGGCCCCTCACCTCCGCTCTGTGCCCCCTGAACTCCTCCCGAGCGCTTTCAAGTCATTTCCACTCCGCTCCATAGACCCTTAAGCCCACTCTCCCCTCGCAGCTCACGGAGGCCGTCGCTCCTCCGTGCGCCCCTCTCGTCCTCCCAGTGGCTCTCGCCCCCTCAGCCCGCGTTCCAGGGCCCCCACATACCCACAGCCCGACAGCCATCACCACCACAAAGTAGATGACGATGACAGAGATGTCGGCCGCATTGCGGATGCGCTCGTGGGACGCGAGGGGCGCGGCGGTGGTGGCGGTCGCGGGGCTCCAGGTGCTACTGTCCATGGCGGCGGCGGCGATGCGTCCCTCCCGCCCCGGGCCACTTGCTCCTTATACGACCTCCGGGTTAATGATCAGCCCCGGGGGAGGGGACCCGCGAAGTCCGGGCAGCTGGGCTGTCGTGCGGGGGCCCCTGCGCTGCGCCGTCGGGGAGCAGCTCTGGACGCAGAGCGAGGAACAAGGAGCACGCCGAGCTGTTGGCTGGGCGGCAGCGGGCCAGGCCGGCAGGTAAGGACTGTCCCCTGAGCGGGGAGGGGCCGGCCAGGGGGTGGTGCCCGCCTGGCACAAAGGCCCGCTGTGCTCCCGCAGTGGGCACCCTGCCGGGCAGCCACGACACTGCGGCCACACCCCAGGCAGAGCGGGGGG